AACTACTTTGAAAATACATCTGCTAAGGCGTGGTTGGTGATGCTATATTTGGGTCATTTGAACGTGATGCTAAAAAGACTTCTCGGAGTCGGTTTTTGGGTCATGTAGCCCGTATAATTCCCCTATCATGCCAAGTGACCATGCGCCTATAGGATGAGCGTTCCTCGCCAGCACCACCTTAGCGGAATTAAGCGGTACGGATATTCCTCCTGTCTATCTATTCTACCTTAGCTATAGCGAACCAGTTCATAAAATGACTAAAAAAGTTAAAAATGGCTCCCCTGTGTGGCGCTGTCAGCAGCGTTTTCTACTTATAAACTTTAGTAGGCGCTATTTTATCTGTCCAATTCTCAGCATTTGTATAGCCCAGTACTCACTCCCCTACCCTCTAGTTTACACATTTTTATTATCACCTTTTAGTTCAGACCTCCACTTTACGTAGTACATGGAGAGAGGAGAGTACACCCGCTTCTTTGAGCAAGATGTGCGAACATTCTACACAATGCAAGATGTAATGCATCATGAGGAGATTTGTTCGACTTGTACAATCTCCTTCGACGATAGCATTCTACAAGGTAGCACCTTCCTCTACAATCAATAACCCAGAATTTCGTTTCAAACGCCACTTTCACATAGACGAGAATGAATAGATGACATCCAAGCACTGCATCTCGTCATTCAATTCCTTTGGCAACCTCTCAAGGTGGGAGTAGACACCCCGCCACTGCAACCAGACATTCCAAGGTGTCTAGTTGCTCGGTGAGCACCGATGTGGTGGATAAAAAAGCCGTCAATTTATTATCAAACACGCTCATTCGTGGGTAACACTCATTCCCGTTGTTACCATCGGGACGACGATGCAAGGAGGGTGGGATGATAACAATGATAATGAGGATGACGACGATATCCATTTACAGATAGAGGACAGGAGGGGCTGCAACAGTGCTATCTACTGTTGTTGCTGCTGATGGTGATGATGATGTTGGTGACCGGTAGTGGATTGTGGTGAATGATGCTGCGCTATCAAGCGAAGCAGTTCACTGAGGGTTTCTGTTTCTTGGAAGGACATTGCACCTCTTACAGGCACAGAACCAGGAACAGATGACTGCGGTGGTTGTGGAAGTGCAGGCGGGGGCTGAGTAGAACTGCTACTGCCACCACCGGGACGAAGATGATGTTGATGCTCTTGCTGGTGAAGATGTTGATGACGAAGGGGCGCCGATTCGACTGTACTTGCTGCGGCGGCAATAGCGGCAGCCACAACAGCTGGGTTGGGAGCGTCGTACAATTTAAAGAATTGAGTCAAATGTGTCATCTGAGGGAACTAAAATTAAAAGTGGAGCGTAAGAGAAGCGATTTATTGCCTAGCAGAGCCAACATTCTACAGAGAATAGGCCTTCAGGTCGACTCTGCAATTCAAGGCTCTGGACTCGAGCTGGAGGTACTCTGCAGGTTCAAACCCACCTTTGAATTCGAAAAGTTCATGAAATTCGTATAGTACTCCGGAGGCCATGCTGATGGCTGCATTTGCGGTGGTAGCTGTGATTCCTGTTGCTGTTGTTGTTGTTGTTGTTGCTGGTGTTGTTGTTGTTGTTGTTGTTGAGATAGAAAGACAGATGCATTGCGGTGGAATCCAGGACTGGAATTTGATAATGCGGTGGAAGAAGCGGAGTTGGATGCCTTCCCTACAGACACCAGTGACGGTGCTGATGAGGACGATGCCAAAGAAGACGAAGGCGGTACTCTTGGCCTCTGTTGCGACTGCTGGCCATAGTCTCCGCTATTCTGCATCCGATATTGTGATGGTGGTGCCGGCGGTGGTGGTAGTGGTGCAAAGGAAGATGGCATTGACGATTGGTGCTGGTGATGATGGTGGTGGTGATGAAAGGTTGGCGGTGGTTGTGCAAGCCGATTTGTCGATGTCACTGGTTGTTGAAGAGATTGCTGTTGTTGTTGTTGTTGTCGTTGTTGTTGCTGTTGAATCTGGGAAAACAACATCATCATTACCTGTTGTTGCTGTTCTGGAGTAGCTGTTTGGAGAAAGCGTTGAAGATGTTGTAGTTGCTGCTGCCATTGTTGCTGTTGTTGGTAGGCCACTTGATAGCGATGCATGACATCGGACGCCCTCGAGTCGTTTATTGCTGCTTGAGAACGGAATGCTGCTGCTGCTGCCGCTGCAGCATCCATCGTGGCCTCTCTCGGATGTTGCTGCTGTTGCTGCTTCTGTGAAGAGGGTAGACTA